CTGGTGGGATCCCTCAGCCTGGCCTGCAGGGATTGGGCCAAAACTGGCTCATCGACATCCCCGAGGGGTCTTGGATTGTGAGAGGGAGCAGACCAGGCTGAGGGACCCCACTGGTGCATGATCGGGGCCAGGGAGGGACTACAGGAGGGCTCCAGGGCATGCCCAGCCCATCTTGCCCAGTCCCAATCGGCCGGACTCCAGCAGCAAGTTAATCTACCAGTCAGAGCATCTGTCCCCTGGTGGTCAGTGTGCGTCATAGCAACTGGTCAAATGGTCGAATGAATGTTAGGGCATTTACATATTAGGCTTTTATTATACGGTAGGTCCTTGGATTACGTGGGAGATTCCTATGGCACAACTAACCGTGATTTCTGCTGTAAGTCAGAATCTACCTACATAAGCACCTACGTCACTCACATGGAGCACAAACACAGCAGTAATGAACTAAAACAGTAAAAAAAAGTTAAAAGAAAGATAACAATTTCTGACCTTTACTTGTGGTAAATAAATAATAAAAAACATAAAGCACATATGTACATACATCAAAATGATGGAACTTTTTCTTTAAATAAATAAATGGGAGATGGCGACGTAACCACAAAACGACATATGTCGAGTCTGACGTAACCTGAGGACTGTCTGTATAGGATATTATGTAACTGTTACTGAGGGCATTCACTTCATAATAGGTAAGTCTTCTTTCTTCATCAAGTCTTTTTCTTCCAAAATATTGGATTTTATTAATTTTAAAATTTTGTTCTACTGAGCCCAACCACAGTGTCTCAGTGGTGGAGCATCAACCTATGAACGAGGAGTCCATGGTTTGATTCCTGGTCAGGGCACATGCCCAGGTTGTGGGCTCAGTCCCCAGTGGAGGGAATGCAATAGGCAGCCCATCTATGATTCTCTCTCATCATTGATGTTTCTATCTCTTTCCCGAGGCAGCTGATCAATAATTCTCATCATTGATGTTTCTCCCTCACCCTCTCCCTTCCTCTCTGAAATCAATAAAAATATACTTAAAAAAATTTGTTCTACTGAGATTTAATTTACCTAGCTGACATGCACAGTTCTGACAATTATATATACCCAAGTAACCAACACTCTGATCAGCATATAGAACATTTCCACCACCTCAGAAGAACGCCTTATGTCCCTTCACAGTCACTCTCACCCTTGATCTTGATTTCTATCACCATAGGTTAGTTGTCCCTTTCCAGCACTTATAACTGCAGTTATTCAGTATATAATTTTTTGTGTCTGGCTTTCACACTCAGCATATTTTTTGAGAATGATAATGCTGTGTGTGTGGGGGGGAGGCGGGGGTGGTGGGTAGTAAAACATATTCCTTTTTTTTATTGCTGAGCAGTAAGTAGTCTATCTTACAAATACACTGCAGTTTCATCCCACCCACTTTTGTTGAAGGAAACCTGGACTGTTTCCAGTCTGGGCATTAAACAAAAAGTTGGTTCCAATCCTAGCACCATTTTGTCCAAATAAAAAAAGTTTGGGGATTTGGATTTTGTTACTTTTCAGTCTGCCTTCCACTAATATTTAGATTTTTTTCAGAGGCCTCCCTCCCTTGCTCTTTTCTCCAGGAAAATCATAGTATATACATGCAACTGCAAAGGAATTCAAGAGGGTAATATTGAAGATGGACACGTTTATATATTCATATTCATCACACAAGCATAAAGGCTAAATATAGAAAACAAGTTAATATCTTGGCCAGTCTCACAATCTAATTTTGGAAAGGGCAGGTAAAGCTGCAAGGGGTAAAACAAACAAACAAACAAAAAACAAAGTGGTGTGCGTGGGTGGAGAGAGCAATAGTGTCAATCTGCAGAGGTTAAGGCATTATCAGGGCCCCAATGATAATTATATTTACAGCTTGTTCTTATTGACCTTTAACAAATGCTAGACATTGTGCTAATGATTTCATTTAATCCTTATGCTTGATGTGATACATTCATTATCCCAACTTGAGGTAGAGCATATGGACATTCAGAGGGTACGTAAAAAAGGGCAGAAACATTGTATATAGAGGACATTCATAGGAGCATAAATCATAGGGACTTAAAGGAATTGGAGAGGTTAGTTTTTAAATAGCGAGTGGTGCAGCTAAATAGTATAAATAGCATTTTTACTTTCTCTTTTCATTAGCATTTTGCAAACTCTTCTTAAGCCATAAGCCCTCTTTGTTCATGCTCACTGGGTATAGTGTGTGACATTTACCTCCGAGGGAACTATAAACCAGCTGGACAATTGTAGTTTTACAAATGGAGTAATTTAACACCACTCCTCACGACAAAATAATAAGTACTTTGATATTGTGGATATACTGTTACCAACAATTCTGGCCAAAATCCATGTACAGCAAGAAAGAATTTCAGTGGAAAAGTGAGTGGTTTAAAAGTCATCTTTGGGAATTCAATAAAAAATTAATTTTTTCCTAATGCTTTCTTTTCTTCCTTTTCCTCTCTATCCACCCCAAAGATTGTTTAGTATTCTCTTCCTTTACTGCTACTGATTATTATATTACTGCCCTATTTAAAATAGAAACGATGGCCCTGTTGGTGTTGCAGAGTGGTTAGAGTGCCAGCCTGCACACTGAAGGGTCTCGGGTTCAATTCCTGGTCAAGATCAGGTACCTGTGTTGCAATTTTGATCTTTGGCCTGTTGGAATACGTTTGGGAGGTTAACCCATTGATGTGTCTCTCTCACATCAATATTTCTCCCTCCCTCTCTTCCTCCCTCACTCCCAACCTTCCTCCCCGCTCCCAATCTTCCTCCTTTCCTCCCTCCCTTCCACTCTCTCTAGAAATCAATGGAAAAAATATCGTGTGAGGATTAACGATAAATAAATAAAGAGGAAGAATGGAGAAGAAAGTATTCTTTTTTTCTGATAAGAAAGCCCTGAATACAATTTGGAGAAATCCATCCTTAAGGAGCACTGTATGAGCCAGTGGCTTCACATTTAAAATAGCATTGTGCACAACGTAGCTTTCGGTATTGGTTAGCTAGGGCTGCCGTGACAAAGTACACAGACGTGATGGCTTCAACAGAAATGAATGTCTTCACTGTCTGGAGACTGGAAGTCCAAGAGCAAGGTGCTGGCAGGGTTGGTCTCTTCTGAGGCCTCTTCTTGGCTGGCAGATGGCCTTCCTTTTGTGAACACGTGCCCTAATTTCTCGCTATAAGAACAACAGTTATATTGAATTAAGGTCCACTCATGCGACCTCATTTTACCTTAATTAGCTCTCTAAGGACCCTGTCTCCAAACACAGTCACATTCTGAGGTACTGGCGGTTTAGGATTTCCACATATAAATTTTTGGGGGCACATAATTCAGCCTATAACACTTCCTAACTGCATGGCAGAGCTAATGAAAAAAAAAAGATTATTTAAGAAAATGCTATCTATCAATGCAATTATAACAAGAGAGTGTCTGTTAGGGATTAAAATTAGTCACATCTTCAACTATTTTAAAATCATTTGTGAATGTAAGTTGCTTGTAAGGAAAGATGTTATTGGCTACTATTTAAGAGAGCAAGGCCGTGAAGAGAATCAGATGACATGTTGAAGTTCTTATCTGCAAACAAGTACCATAGTTTAAATGTTAAAAATTCTCCAAATTCAAAAAAATGAAAAAAGTAATCTAAAATTAATGGTTAATTACAGAAGATATGAGGTGGTGTGTGTGTGTTTTTATTAAGCTTCAAATGACTTATGAAGAACATGGCAAAAATAGTATTAGAACAGAGTAGACTGGAAAGTTAGCATAGCTTCCTGGCATCACTTGTTTATAGAAAACAGAAAGGGTCGCAGAGCAAATAAAGGAGGCTCACTATGCTGTGGTCGCACTTCTGTAAGTACAGCATGGTGTTCAGCCTTTCAGAGTGTGCAGGATACAAAACAATCAGAAAAAAGGAAACATGTTTGTTCATGATCAGTGAAGATGATTCATATGAAACTGATTTTTCAATAGATAAAATAAAACCAGAGGATTTAGCCTGTAGAAGAGGTAAAAGGAAAGTACCTAGAAGCCATTATGATGAAAGATTAGAAGATGGACTTTTGTCTTAAAATTATTATACAACTCTCATATAATGTCTTCACCTCACATCAATAATAATATCGTCACCCTTCCTTACCCTATTAATTTTCTCTGTATATCATCAGCTTCTTAAAGCAAGTTCCTAAAAGAGGTCGTGTGCTTTACCCAGGCCACGGGCTAAAACGAACTCTGAGCGTTCACTCTCCGCAAAAAGAGGCTGCCCCGACCCTAGCAGGTTCTAGAGCTTGGGATTGGCACAAGGTCTGGGGACCCTGCCAAGCCCCCCCCCCCCCCCCCCCCCGCCCCACTATCTATCTTTCGCGTAGCTTGGCCACCTACACCTACTAACACATTGCGTTTGCGTCATCGTCATCCTCCGGTCTCTGGGCAGAGGAAAGGGTCCTTTTGGACTGCAAATCCCGATCTGGATAAAGAGTAGCCCAGTCTTTTGGCCCCCAGGCCTGGGGCGGAAACTCCCTCTCCCGGCTCACGGTGGAGCTGCGGGTGGAGGCCGAGTCACCTCAGGGGCCTGTTGTCCCCGCAGGATGTATACACTCCACATACAAACGAGTGACTTAAGGAGGCCCAGCAGCCAATCAGAGCGCAAGAACGCGCAGCCAGCATCTTGGTTTTCCGGAGCTGCCACAGCCAAGCCGGGCCCAACGGAGGGGCGCTACGGCCATGAGAGACCAAACTTGCAGACTGCGCGCCCCCCGCCCCTCGTCCGCAGACGTCTCCTGCCGGGAGGCGGGG